CCCGCGACTATTGGAAGTAAAGAGGTGGACCGAGCAGTGGCGTAACTACAGGTTGACAAGTCGGCAAAATGCCACGGCCCCGAGTAGAAACCCAACTCCCAACATTTATTATTACACATTTAGTAAAAAAAAGTTTTGTTTAATTTATTTACTTCACTTAAATAATTTACGTGACTACACCACCGCAAAATACAAATGTTTCGCATTTCTAATTTGACTTAAAAACTATTACATATCTTACATCCACCCACCTTACATCCAAAAATAACTTTATACAACGTTGCTTAACCTCGACGATCGACATCGCAAATTACCGTAAACAAACTGTCAGCCGCGCCCCTTGGTTTTAATTATTATTTCACTCCCGCTTCTGTCTACATACATTACCACTCTGCAATTATTGGAACATTTTAAGGAGCCCACCTCTTATTTTTATAATTGAAATGACAATCAAACTTAGACCCAGATGGTAAGTGAACAAATATAGTGACATCGTAGACATCCACTTCGGCGCAATCAGTGCATATCATAAAAAAATATACCACCATTTAAGCAGCTCCAATGGGGCAGTGATATATTATATTTTATTACTAATACTAATACTGAACATACACACACAAACAGTAGTAGATAATAAGCATAATCATAATAAGAAACATTTAATTTAAGATATTTGTTATATTATATAACTTTTGTATAATTTCATGTTATTTTATGGTGGAAGAATAAAAACGAATACATGGTAAATAAAGTAAATAATTTACCGTTTGCGACATTTCAACTACGTTGCACATATTTACAATTTTGGAAGAAAGCAGTAAAATTACCGTAGAATAATTCTTCATTCTTTCTTTTTTAGTTTCTTTTCTTCATTCCCTGTTGGTCGTCTGTACTAAAATCTAGTGTTTATTTCTATTACAAATAAATCGCTAATAAGGATATAAAATTAATAATGATAAAATAGACACAATTAATGACTTTTCAATCAGCGGCGTTGATGAAAAAATGATGAAATATTAATGGAAATTGTAAATTTCCGATACTTCGCTACGGTAGCACTCTTAACAGCTTCCATTATGAATGCCTCCAGGGCATCTCATAATAATTAATCTATCAATTGAACCGCGCGTGGAAATCAAAGCAAAATATAAATTTATTAGTAGACATGAAACGGAAAATTAATTTATATTCATTTATAATATTAAATTATACTCTTTTATTAATGGAGTGTATAATTTGAGATTTTGTTATATATGAAACCACTGTTGAAAACTCTTTGATGGATTTTTATAATATTTATAGATTTTCTAATCATTATTTTTTGACATATTCTTTTTCGTAACAATATATTATATATCGCTGTCGTATAAATTTCATTTTAAGTATCTCCGTATTTTTCCTCACAAAACCCTCGATACCTCTCACTCATCAGGTATATCTACCTTCCTTCAATACCTTCAACTACATTTCTTCTCTAAACCAAAAGAACGATTTTCATACATTGAACTACTGTAAGAATGAACTCTGTCGATTGACAACAGAATCATTCTGATATGATCGGTGCCTTCATCACACCTTAGTCCTCCAGAATACCAACGCATGAAAGGGTTTCTTATTTTTTGTGGTTTTATATCCACTATCGGTATACGCTAGAGAGACTGTGAAGTATAATAAGATGAGGATACAGTCAAGTCAGTTATCCATCTTGGCCGGTTCACTTTTAGGAACTAATTAATCACAGTGGTTTTCAAGGGAGATCGCGTGATTTAATAATTACCCCATATATAACAATCCCTGCTACACCTGAAGGTCCCCACTTATCATCAGGTGGCCCATCAGCTTATTTACCAATCCTGTTACATAAAAAAAGTATAACTACGCAATCAATTTCCACTTCTAAACTTTCCTAAAACACCTGCGAAAATATTCGTATTTCGCTCAAATACGCATACGTAACTCGAATTTTTGTAATCTTATCGTTCGCTGAACAATAGCCGATTGTACAGCATAAAGCAGCCAGTGTATAAAACATTCAGCAAATTCCCAAACAAAAGTATTTCAGGTTCAGTAAAGCGAAATACAACAGATCAGTCCAATATTGGAATTTCAGTCGCATTATTCAGGTGTACAATAATGTTTAATTCTCTGAAAACTGTGTGAGTAATCGCTGAAATAAAATGGAAAGTAAGTTCATTGAGATAATTACTACGGTAATGCTTTTTTATACTATTATTAATAATTCATGAATTTTATCCAAAAATTTCAATAGAAATAGAAATAGAAATAATCTTTATTCAAATAAACTCATTACAAGCACTTTTGAATAGTCATATTTTGATTCTACCACTCATTCGGAATGCAGATTCATCACAAGAAGAATGAGCAAGAAACTTGTGTGTTGCTCTTTTCAATAATAATTTTATCAACAATAATTATTTTATTTCGAGAACATTAATTTGATGCCGCTATGGTTTAACTTCAGATTGGTTGTATGCTTGCTTGCTTAAGCTAAAAAAGTTTTGTATTTTCATATTAAAAAGAACGAAAATGATTTTGTGTTTTGGTCTTATGTAAAACAGAGTTTGATAACAATAAAATGAATATGTAATTAATATGAGTTGAAATATGGATTATTATAAAGAGAATCATCAAAATCGTTTTTCATAAACGTATAAGCAATAGAAATACATTACAGATGAGTTCCTTTTTTTTGTAATCGCTTGAAAATACTCATCAACATTTTCCGTCAAAAATTTCGAGAATGTTTTATTTTGCAGGCGAAAATCTCACTAATGTTGTAAACATCTAAAACATTTTGTTTATTTGTGTCTCGAAATTCTTGATACATTTTTACGTTGTTTTTAAATTTTATATTATTTTTTTTTAATTCTTTTTTGTAACAATTTATCGTTAGTCATCATAATTTTTGTATATATATCGCTGCCGTACTAGTCACATATTTCAATTTTCTCTATAAAACTCTATACCTACTTCTACAAATGAAGCGGAGCTATCTAATATACCTAAAAAGTGATAAGAAGACAATGGAAAGATTTTTACAAAACAATATTTGAAAAAAATTTAATTATAATATTTAATAACAATAAAAAAATGCATCAAGGAGTTCACACAGTTTATATATTAGCCTCTTTTAAATTCAAGTAAATAGTAATTTTTGCTTTGTTATGTACAACATGTAAATGCATCAGTGAGTTCGCTACAGTATTCCTCGGACTTTTATTGCCTCAAGCAAATCGTCATTTTTGCTATGTACATATGTAGGTAGTAAGTAATGGTCACGGCCGTAGGGCGGATACTTTCTATCTCGGTCAATCGATATGTTCCGGTCTCGCAGACGAAGTCGCCGGCACAGCTTGTTTCGCAGATTTAGCTGTTCATGCACGGGATTTCATTTAATGTTTTCATAAAAGAAATAGACACCTATACAATGTTAATAAACTTAATTGAACTGACTTAACTGAAATTCAGTTAAGTTTCTTGGCAGTTCTTCTCCATTGAATGTGTATACTGAAATGGACGGTAGAGAAAAAAATATAAATGCAAAAATCTTGACGTTCATAAGCGGCTATAATGGCCTACACAAATAAATGATTTTTGATTTTATTTAGAAACATATAAGTAAAATAAGGACGTGTTAATTTCGTTTAAAAAGTGGTCGTTACCAGCTACTGTTAATGACCATTCGGATATATACATTTTTCATACTTTTATTTTATGTCCAAAGATTCATTTAAAGTGTACAGATCTGTAGCTAAAATATGTTACAATTTATTTACTATGTTATCAGTGTTTCCATTATCACAAAGCCATAATGTAAATATAAAAAAGACAGACAAAGTATTTTGATGCCTAAATTCAACTGACCTTTGGACTCTTCAAGTCCGGAATAGTAATTTTTTACACATCATTTACTTTACCTACACAAATTTAATTTTAATGAATACATAATAACCACTATTATTTCGAATACAAAAATATTTTTTTACTTTAAATTATATTTTCATTTATATAATCATAAAATGACGTTACATTATATGTATATTTCAGATATAAAAACTGATAATAGATAATTCTTCTAATTATTTTATAAATTACATTCGCAAAACAGCGACCAGCTAATATTTGAAGGTTACTTAAATAGGTTGTCCTCTTCTTATTAAATTAAAATATCGAATAAACTTTTTTAATAAAGTTTTGATTGAAAATAAAAATAGGCGTGATTCATTTTACAAATGTTAACAGGTTTTAAAATATTTAAATACTGAAATGTAATATATTTTTATAGAAAAATAATGATAAGAAAAATAAATAAAATATTCCCCTCTAGATCGAAGATATTAAGTTTCTACTCTTTACAGCAATTTATCTTTACTTCTACATACAACAATAATAATAGGACTCTATTTTCTAATGCATAAATATATATTAGCATTATATATATATATATGTATAATGTATATATATATTTTATATATATTATATTTGTACACAAATAAGCAATAAAGCCTTGAATTGTATTAATTCTGCGTCCAATAACCGTTTTAACTTCGATTTCCTTATATATAAAAAATATATAATAATGACATATTTTTATAACACAAACTGTCATATCAATATGTACCACCAATAGTGAACAGACTATTAAATTTCACTTATTAATCTCTGAAAAGTGAAACTATAGAAAAAAACACTGAAACTTTAAAATTAAAAAAGAGATAATAAACACCGTATTAATATAATTAGTTGAGTCTTAACACGAATAATGTTATGGTAAATCCTTATTTACTATAATGTGCTTCTCTCGACGTTTCGATTAGGTTGCAGCCATTGTCACGAACTTAAGTATCAAACATACTGTATCTATCCTTTATTTAATTAATGCAAACAATTAAATCACTCACCATCAGATGAGCTTTAAGCTCCCCCCTATGCTATAAAAAAAATTAAAAAATTAACTCTTCCTACAACACCAACTGATTTCAGAACTGATGATCATTACATTATCTGTAGCACTAGCTGACGGATTCAGGCATAAATTCTTCTCAGACACCTTAGATTCTGAGCCTTCAATATCAATTCTATACGCCAGAGACAAGACCAGCGATAAAGCCACAAACGAATGTCTAAGAGAAATGTACCCGAGAAACCTCTACAAATACCCACTGAGGATCGAAAGGAATGATATACCCTGTATATTACACTGTGTATTAAAGAAGTTCGGCATCATGAGCAACGATGGATATATCAACTTGAAGAATTACTACCGACGGGTGCAGGCTATCCATAAATATGATCCGAGGATTTTGATATCGGACGTGGGAGATACGTGCGCGCAAAATATAAATGCTATGAATTTGGATCACGATATTTGTAAGAAAGCGAAAGTTTTCAACGATTGTACACAGCTGTATGCTATTTCCTTTAGGGAGCCTGAACTGTTTTAATTTATTTATTATGTCGCACAATGTAAAGTCGTATTCGTGTATTTCATGAGCATGATTGTTTATATTGATCTGGGTGTTTTCTATGTTTATTATGTATGCATTTCGAAAAATTATTATCTACAAATAAATGTATCTATCACTACCATAACACATGTTCTGCTTTGCTGGAAACTAAATGAAACTGAAACTAGATGCTGAATCCAGGAATATTATTATTTTTTGTATTCTGTATTAACTCCTAATTGTATATAAAAATAAGCAAAAAAGGTTTCAAATGATTATTATTTATGAATAAATAAGTTTCTAATTTGCAGCTTATACAGCTTTTAAACATAACATCGAACAATTTATAAATTGTTCGATGTTATGTTTAAAAAAAAAGCAGTATAATTTCAGGATATGAGGAATGACGTCTTATTCCTCCGGACACTGTGCGACAGTAGTAGTTGAGTTTTAGTATATTTGTATATAATTGCATCCATACTTTGATAACTTCGCATGTATTTTATAAATGAAAATAACATTTGCAACTTACTACATTTTCTTACAAAATGAAACCCGTAGTAATGTTGAGATAACGAGTATTTCACTAACACTGAAACAAACTCTTTTGAAGAAGGAAGGAATCATTAAAAACTGGTTATATTTTAATGATGGCAAAGACATCGTGTAACACAAAAGTAACTGTCGTGTAGACTTTATGTGTCTAGAATAATAGTTATATCCATAAAAAAGGGTATAGAATTTGTAAAAATGATTAAAAGTTAGGAAACAAATTACATAACATATGAATAAATATGTAATGATACCTTTGTGATAAACGTTACTGGTTATCTATTTTAAAGAGCTAGCGTTATATTATACATATAAAATAGGGTATTTTAATTAAATGTACAAACATAAGGTTTTCTTTTGTAGCGTATAAAACAATGCAGACATTAATTTAATACAGATTTTTTATTTTAATACATTCAAATTTATTCTATACGAGTTTTTATTCAAGTATTCCCAGAATCCGTTTGATTGCACTATTGTGTCTGTGCATAATGAAATTCTGTTGACATTCCATTATGAGAGATCAAAAGTAGTTTTGTTCGTGGAATTTATTCTGAAATGTGTAAATTAATTTTAATATTGAATTTATTTTATTCAAATATCAGCTTTGTCCACGTGGATTTTATAATTTCAATAAAAAAAATCAATAATAAAATTAACATAGGTTAAGTTACGCCTTATAACATTCGATATCTCTCCAGTGAATGTCCCGTCAAAATAGGTCCAGTCTTTTTTTTATTAATATCTTGATGTAAGTACCGTATATACTCTCATATGCATATGCAATGAAAAACTATTAATTTGAAATACAAATTACATTGATCTGTTTTATTCATTTGTAGGTAACTCTCTTAATTTTTGTCCCTAATTCCCTTATAGTCATATTCAATGCGTTATTACAAGAAAATTATATTAATTTACTTACTATATCAAATGAATTATTTTCTTCGTTATTAATATTTAAACTTCTTGGAAGATAATAATTGATATTTGAATTTCTTGGATTTTTTGTTTAATATTTCTATTCCAAAACGTACATTACACTAATGTATTATGAAATATTGTTAGATAGCTAATTTGGTAATGTTATGGAAAACAACTCTTTCAGACTAGGCTACCATTAATATTAATATAATAGGGTTATGAAATTCAAAAATCATTAATTTGAAAGTTAGCCGCTTACGAACGAAAAAATTTTATAATAAAATTTTTTCCCTACCTTCACGTATCACGTGCCAAATGAGTGAAAATTTTAAACATACTGATAGAATAATTTCATTAATGGATACTCACTTTTAAATATAAATTAAGTTAATTATAGCAGAATCAAATTATCTACTAATTGAATGTAACCAAATTCTTCTTCCAATTATTCGTAATTACATTTCCTCATGATGAGAAGTGCACTGAAATTATACATATAATTAAATTTTTATTAAAATTTAAAAAAATAATTTTAAATGTTTTTAAATTATAGTTTACAGAATAAGTTGATAGGGTTTTCGCTGTGTGTTGTAACAGATAACGTTACTTATTTTTATTTATATAATACAGAATAATGTTATAAAAAAAGTTATCACCCAAATGGGTAATAACATAGTGTCCAGACCCTAAGACTACAATACAATATCTAGTTTCCAATATTATTGTTAGGAAAGTAATGTATGTTTGACATGAAAACTAAAGCTAATCAATCAAATGACAACCTGCTCTTTACAGGAGACTACAATTTACGAACGCTGCATCGCAAAGTTTAATATACTATGAATTCTGCATTCGGACCTCCTTAGATATCCTTAGTATCTACAGGTGTTTACCTACCTTTTGTAGTTAATCAAAACGCGGGTATATTCAATTAAGTTTTTACGAAACCGTAATTAAATTTGTTCAACTAAATGAGAAATGATCGTGTTCATGCCCTGATCCCTTCTATCTTGACTTAGTTATTAAAAATCGCGTCCGTTGAATATTCATTTCCGCAGGGAAGCGAGAACAAACAACTTCGGAAATTTTGGAGTTTACCGCCAAATTTTAGATAAATTCTCAAATTTTTATAAAGTTACTTAGAATATTCGAATCTTTCTGAGCTGCTTCATTGACCTTGATTTCAATTTTTTTCTACCTTCAAAATAAACCGAATTTTAAGAATGAAAATAGTTTTGTTTTCAGTAAGTTAATTATGCGTATATGTTTCAAAGGCTTTGCTAATCAATTATAGTTACGTATAGTAGTTGCAAGCAGAAACTAGTTCATAACAAGAAGCCCATAGCCAATTATTATCTTGATCAATTGTGGTTACGCGGATCTCATCGCTACTTGTCATTAATAATAATAATATCTCAGGCATCTCACAATACGAGATGTAGTCCCAAGCTAATCAGTGTGTTATGGGTACTAGACAACTGATATTAATACGTAGATCTACGTATTAATATCAGTTAAAAAAAGAACCTATACTTTTTTTTTAAATACATAGAAAGAAACCCAGACCAATACAAAACAATCATAGTCATGACTACAAATGTTTATACCATGCGAGAAATTTAAGCCAAGGCGGAGTATGAAACAGTTAGACTTATCGGGTCCTAGAACTGTGACACAATCACTATTTAACTAGATGATGGTGTAGATATATCCAGTGTCTAGTACCTATTACCCAAGGTCTGCTTAAATTTGGACTAGATGGTGATGTGTGGTTCATCCAAGATTATTATTACTATTATTAAGAAAGAAAAAGCAATCAGGAGTTACTACTACTAATAAATTGGTGTTTCAAACGTCCATAGGCTACGGTAACCGTTTATCATCAGATGGTCCTTATGTCTTTGCATTATGATTGCCAACGGCGTAGTATAAAAAAATATAATTATACAAATAAGGTAATTTATTCTTTATTGTTGCAGGAACAACATTCATTGTTCTAATACTAATAACAATAGCAAATGCTCGCATATCAGTAATGTATGCTCACGACAGAACCAGTGATATAATAGCAGAGCAATGCTTCAACGAGATGTATCCGAAGTCGAAACGCGTGGAAATCCAGGAGTCAGACGAACCTTGCTTAATTTTCTGCGTACTAAATAAGTTGGGCATAATAAATTCAAATGGAGTGATCAATTTAGAAGTTTATAGGTAAGAAAAACTTAATCTTAATCTTAACAATATTATAAACGCGAAAGTTTGTTATCGATGGATGTTTGTTACTCATTCACACAAAAACTACTGAACGGATTTTGATGAAACTTTACACAGCATATACATAAAAAAAAAAAAAGATATATTATGTAAATTTGGCGAAATATAGTAATAAATGTCATCTAAGAGGCTACAAGAAGACCATAGCTAATAATTATCTGACCAATTATAGTTACGTGGATCTCATGTTTTGTCATTAATAATAATAATATCTCAGTACAATTCACACAACGTCATCTAGTCCCAAGCTAAGCAAAGCTTGTGTTATGGGTACCAGATAACTGATATAAATATATAGATACTTTTATTTAGTAAACACTTAGAAAATACCTAGAGCAATACAAACAATCATACTCATGTATATAATTGTTTGCACCGTGCGAGGAATCTAACCCGCGACCTTCGAAACTAAGGCGGTGTGCTAAACTGCTAGACCACCTAGACCGTCTGTTCTCATAGATTAAACTACGCTTCCGATTTTAATGCATTTTTCAGCAATAGATAGAGATTCAAGAGGAAAGTTTATATGTATAATACATGTACACCGGTGCGAAGCCGGGGCTGGTAACGAGTAAAAGATAAATAGAATATATCTAATATTCCTTTCATGAGTAGAACCATCAGGTTCCAATACTTACCTGATCCCAATCTGATTTGTCTGTTAGAAAATAACATGTATATACGAGTATAAGGAATAGTTTTAGCACATGTTATTCATTCTAGAAATATATTTAGTAGTTATTTTTTGTTATACGTTATCAAACATTTAAAAGTTTTATTCTTGGATATTTTTTTAAAATAATAATCATATTATTTATTTCAAGATAAACATTTCACATGCGCAACTACTTTACAAACATAGATCTTAATTTAATTTAACCTATGACAATTAACACCACAGTATACCCATATATATGTATATATTGTACCAATTATAATAACAATTTAAGTACCTATTTTTATTATTGTTATATAAGCATATTAGTATTTACATATACAATACAGGTAATAAATTAGGTAAATACTAAAACTGCCTTTCCCCGCCTGTGCCCTTCAACCGCTTTCTGTTTTTACCCAATGGTTAGCTGGTAGAGAATGCCATATGACTTCCGCACTACAATTATATACATAGTATAAATAAAATATATAGTACAAATAAATAGAATAGAATAGAATAGAAAATCATTTATTCAATTAAACTTAATTTCAGCACTTTTGAATAGTCATAACAATTTTTTTTAATCTACCGTTCGTACGGAAAGCTCTCTCATCACAAGAAGAACGAGCAAGAAACTTGTATGTTGCTCTTTTAAAAATCCAAAAGTACATAGAAACCACACAGAGCGCTACAAATAATCATTTCTATTTATATTTAAACTCTTTATTGCACAAATTACAGAACAAAAAAATATACATATAGATTAAGTGATACAAAAGTCTTATCACTAAGCAATCTCTTCCAGACTATCTTTGGGTGGATAGAGAAAGTAAAAATAAGAAAAGGGTAGGTAGCGCACGTAACGAGGAATCGAACACGCGACAATCGGAAGTAGAGTGGCGTGCTAAACCGCTACACTAAGACCGTTGTTAATGTGCTGTCATAAACATTTTTCCTGTAACGTAGGTAGATTGCGCTATATATAAGGATTTTCCCCGTGATGTGAAAATACGTTCGTTGTTATGATGGACTACGTAATCCCTAACAACACTTTAATCCGGTGTTTCCCAACCTCTTTCGTGCCATGCCCCACCTTAGCTTTTCTAAAATTCTTATACCGTACCTCTCCCCCCCCCCCTAAATTTTTAATTATTATTAATTATGTATGTTACATGCTGTATAACATATGATGACATTGATGATCACCAATGACAACATATGAGACAACTTTCCGAATGATCGGTACATTAAAAAATATGTGATGGCTATTCAATAGTGCGTCACTGTAAGTTTATTTGAATAAATGATTTCTATTCTATTCTATATATAATTTATAATAGTAAAACACTTAAATAATAGGTTTTTGAAAGAAATGACTAGACTCGTTAATCAAACAGATAGTATATATAACATACAATGAAAAATTGAAATTCACATTCCATACAATTTTAATACAGAGTTCATTTTCAAATTACTCCCCTTAACAATCAAATTGTCCCCCTGTGGGGCCCACGTTGGGGTACACTGCTTTAATCCTTTGTAGCAGCAGGCTTCACATGATTGTTAAAATGGACGGCACAGTATATCCTCTATAAACTAGTTCAAATCATAGTCCAACAGTTGTTTTACCAAATGGAAATCCAGATAGATATGAATATAGTAGAGGAGAATTATAGAAAACAAAAGAATTAGGCAAACATTTCTAGAATACAGTAAAATACATAAAAAACGAAAATATGGTAAAATCAACTAACTAACTATACATATTAGAAATTAGTATACAATAGTATAATGACTACTAGCAAATAGAGGGCGAAACACAAGGGGTCACCTGCGTGTCACCCTACATATCTCTCAGATTAATTTAGTTCGTTATCGGTGTTTCTATCATCGGAGAGTCAGTCAGAAATTGAAATGGATAATTTAATTAGTGTAGGTAAGTCAGATTCGATGAATTATAAGTCTAATCTAAGTACTTACTGAAATATATTGAATGCAATATGAAATTTATATTGTTTCAGAAAAAGAGTGAAAATGGCTCACCAGTTAGACCAGAGGCGTTTAGTTGGAGATTATGGAAATGCTTGCATGGACACTGCAGAAGCAACTCAGCACAAACAAGATGTTTGCAAAAAGGCAAAAGTATTTAACGATTGTACACACCTGTACAGAATAATACTGAAGTAAATTTATGAAATTAAATAATAATATTGATATTAAATAATACATCTATTTTTCTCTTATGGTCAATCATAATCTTACTATAATATTATAAATGCGAAAATTTGTGAGTATGGATGGATGTTTCTCTTTCACGCAAAACTACTGAACTGATTTTATTGAATCTTTACAGTGACTTAGCATATACATAATAACACATAGGCTATAAATATTATGTAAATTAGACGAAATATAATGACAAATTCCAAGTAAGTATGACAGACAAAGTTGCGCGTATCAACTTGTCAGCTATAAATGGAATAAAATAATGCAGTTAATAAACTCTGATTTTTTGTAACGTTATAACAAAGAACAAGACGGTAAAAGACTGCTAATGTTATTCATCATTTTTCCATGTGACGTGCCCTGATCATCACAATATCATACATCAATAGTCGACAATGATCACCGTATCTTTAATATACCGTCTTAAAGGTACATTATTAATGATAGAGAAAAACATATTAAACCTGCCCCAAATAAATGGGATAAGGATGAAGCAGATGATAAAGAGTTTGTACTCGGCTGAGTACAAACTCTTATTAGCATCTGCTTCTTGATCTTGGCGGCTGCCAAACAGTTTGCTTTGTAAATTGTATTTCGATAGTAGAATTAGATATGGCAATGAAATTACATATTACAGCGGCATCACAATAAGTAGTCCTCCTGAATGGCAATATAAGAATAATAGTCTTTCATTTCAAACAAAATTAACAACAGCTGTATATTGTTATTTTATAATGATGACTATATAATTGTAAAATAACAATACATATATTGAGTGTTACCTATATTAAAAATTTTACCTTCCGTGCTATTTGAAAAATTGTGTTACAGCGACATACAAATCTCGTATCATATGAATACGGCTCATTTTTAGATGTCATATCAAGCATTTTAAATATCAAAATATATAAGGGCACCACTTCATCACATGATGACATGATCCGTGTGCTGTTATTCATCTATAGGCTATGGTTTAATATATTTTTTATATTAAAGGGTTTACTAAAGATAATGTATACCACTCCTATTGAGCTCGCCCTTTTTTTAGCTGATCAACAATACCCTATACCTATACATGCACTAAAAGTGGCAACACTTACTTACCATCAAGCAACTTGTTCTTCCATTTACGTAAAATAAAAAAAAAACACTCTGCTTAACGAATGCCAATTTCATCAGCCACTGAGAAGCACGTTCACTGGTCATTACTTTAAGTTGGTACTCTTAGAACCTCATTATAAAGTCAATCAACATTTGAACGTTTTGTAAGCGAAAAACGTCAAGAACTAAGTACCTTCTTACTCGAGTAATGAAATTAATAGACGCCATATGTTTTCTTCTTTATCCAGTTAGGACATTTGGAAATATCTTGCCTGTACGTGATGTTGTTTCTGAATTTGATGACCTAGGTTTAGAGGTTTAGCACACCGTCTTACTTCCGATAGTCACTGGTTCGATTCGTCATACGGTACAAACATTTGTATTCATGAGTATGATTGTTTATATCGTTCTGGATGTTTTATATGTTATGTATTTACAGAAAAAATATCAGCGTTTGTTAGTTTTCTTAGTCTAAGAAATAACAAATACGACAGACGAAGTGGCAGTCATCAGCTAGTTAAAAATAAGAAACGTAAAAAAATTACAATTATATTCAAATTTGCCCACAATCTATTTTTAAGGTTAAAAGTATTCATCGAAGGAATCTTAATAATTTCATAAACGCGAAAGTTTGTAAGTATAGATGTTTGTTACTCTTTCACGTAAAAACTACTGAACGGATTTTGATGAAACTTTACAGCAATATATCTTATGCATCAGAATAACATATAGGCTATATTTTTTATTAAAATTTGAAAACACGGATAAAACCGCGGCCTCAGCTAGTAATAAATACAACGCGTACAAACGCGTAAAAAACGTAAAAGTACGAATGACATTTACTTTTAAATTTACCCACAATCTATATTCAGTATGTTTGTATAAAGACTATTTCTATTCATAAATCCATTAGCTCAAACATACGTACGTGAGGATATCTACAATTGAAACGGAATTTGTTGACCAATCGATTATTTGCGTAGCTCTTAAAATCCCCGCACTGCTACGAATGGCACTGTTACATATTCTGTGGTAGATCTAACTGTGGATTCAGTTGAATGTAACAATTTTCATAATAGATTTATTCTTGGGACCTACGACGTAAGAAAATATATACAAACATATAATACAAGGACAAACTTGGTCTAGCACACCGGTCTGGTGGGTTAGCAGACCACCATAATTCTGATGATCGCGGGTTCTATTCCTCGCATGGTACAAACATTTGTGTTCACGATTATGATTGTTTTATTGTATATCATCTAGTTAAATGAAATATTAGATTGTATAGTGTACACTCATATTTAAATATAAACTAATGTTATAAGTTAATAATATTATAACTGTGCAGATTTTTAAAAATATATTTTAAAAAATACTCCTCGTCACTCAGAAAACTGTGCTGTAATGTGTCTGCACTCCAAGTGAAGGTAATGCAAGGAGTCAGCCTGCTAGTGTCACCAGAACATTATGTTTATTTTATGATTCAGGGTGTAGTTATGTTTGATATTTATTATATATGGTAGTATGTCGTAAATGTTTACTCTGTGTTATCCGCCTAGATCTATGTATGTATGTGTATTATTATTTTATTATATTTATTATATCTATAAAGGTATCCGCAGAATAAAAGCGTCGTGGAACCCCGTTACGACATATGCTGAGCGGAGACCTATTTGGTACTATGAAATTAATATAACCCTATATAATGTAACTTTAAATTTAAAAATTATTTTTAGTATTGCTATGTACCAAATAAACAATTTTCTTTCTTTCTTTTTTTCTTTTTTCTTTTATAAGTCTGAAGAATTTTTGAATGGTTGTTAAAACGCTCTTAGGAACTGTAGTCGACTGATAAATTAATTAGTGTTAGATAGCTTATTTATATAACATCACGCTACAACTAATAGAACCAACAAAACATGGTAACGACCTATACAAGTGTCTTAAAGTGAAACTGAAATGATATAGGACATCGTGTACCATTACATGTATGCTTTTTATCCTTATCCTTATATATCCTTATGGTGGGACCATCCAGTTCGAGGTATAATACCAAATTAGTTCTAATAACATAGTACTGCATCACAAATACCAATCGCTTCATAAACTAAGTAACTGATGTAGATTTCTTCTAATATATATGATAATTTTACCCCTTAGGCCTACCACCATAAAATGCTCTTATCATATACCAAATCTGTATATTCCATAGAATATTCCATTCTACTTCATGGGATCTTGAGTTACAAAAACACCATCCTTAAATATCAGATTAATCTTGTATACGTATTGTAAAATATAATAACTATAATGAACCGACGGTCTCGGTGGTCTAGCGGTTTAGCACACCGCTTTACTACCAATGGTCGCGGGTTTGATTCTTTGCACGGTGCAAACATTTGAATTCATGGATTTGATGGTTTGTATCGGCATAGTTGTTTTCTATGTATATTATGAATGTATTTACCAAGAAAAAATATTTCTATCAGTTGTCTTCACCCATAGCACAGTCTCTGCTTATCGTGGAACGAAATGACATTGTTCAGGTTTATTTATTTATATATTTATTACAATGAATCTATTTTCTGAAATATTGATAATTCCTGGAATCTTTGTGTTTGTCTTTGTTTCTGATAAAAATGTGTGAACGAGATGAGGTGGAAATATTTAATTCCACCTCATCTGTGACCTTCCTTATAGATCATAACTTATCTTGAGGTGGAAAGGTGATATACTATAGATTTTAAGGCAGAGCACAACTGGATATCACCTGCCCAAAATAGAATAAAATAAAGAGAATTGAAGGAGGCTCACAACAAAAAAAATGTTTGAATGAGAATTAAGATACATCTTATATAAGATGATATATAAGATGTTGAAAATAATACATACCAACTACAATAAACCTATTTTCTATATTGTCGAATAAATAATTCCTAGAACACTTTGTGTCTGGCCATTTTGTTTACGATGTAAATGTCTTTGAAAAGATTAAAAGATAGCGAGTGAACATTCATGTATATTTCTCACTAAATAAATCATTCTATTTTATATATTTTCTAATTATATTTTGTTCAATAATTATAATTTTTGACGACCTCGGTGGTCTAGCGGTCTAGCACACCGCTTTACGTCCGATGGTCGCGGGTTCGATTCCTCGCACGGCACAAACATTTGTATTCATGAGTATGATTGTTTGTATCGGTCTGGGTGTTTTCTATGTATAATATGTATGTATATACGAAAAAAAATATCTATGTATTTGTATCAGTTATCTAGTACCCGTAACACAAGCTTTAGATAGCTTAACTTGGGTCTAGATGGCGCTGTGTGAATTGTCCTGAGATTATTATTATTATTATTATTTAATAAAATAGTAAACAAATAAAATGAAATCATTTTTATATTAATATTTATAAATACAAAAATGATTTGATTGATTTTAACTTAAGGCAAGTAACATTATCCAATGAAATATTTGGACTAACAACAATGTACAGATCCATTGAATTAATGAGCACAATTTCAACATTACCCTCAATCGATTCAATCTACGAAAGTTTCCAGAATATTTAATAATAGAACCCTATCCTACCCGACCCCACGCTAGAATAGAGACGATAATAGTTAAAAATGATGTACTAAATAAAAATATTCTTCTTGCACACTTTTTTATCTTATATTTACAAAAATATAATATAAATAAAAAGTAACTAGCTTTTACCCGATGTAGTGGAATTAAAATAATAGTGGCCTGAGATACTTCTTATAGCATTAGCTATCTGCGAGTGAAAAGCCCGTCATATAGATCATATAGATCCAAGCGTTTCAAATTAATTATAGAAAACAAACAAATAAATATTTTTTTATGTAAATATCCAGACTCTACCCTATCTTCATATAGAAAAAGGCAAAACTAAAATTGCGTATGGTATATATGCATTGCTAGATCAATGCTTTAATATTTAATTTAAATGTTGTCGAAATAAAAGACAGTATATTTTAAAAAGGAAATATAATATTTGAAATGCCGATCAATTACCGCTCAACAGTTGCGAAATTACAAACATAGCAATCTTTTGTATCCAACACCAGATGGAGCATCCTTTTTTTTGTGGAGGTTCTTCCTCCTCTTCATCTTCAGACTTGGCAGTCGTGGGTGCTGCCGTGGTCGTCGACGCTGCATCATCTTGCGCATGAGTCAGAGAAACGCAAAATACAATCACTAACAACAACAAGAAGAGTTTCAATATCGTGAGTTTCATCATTTTATATATATTTTTTATTTGTTATCTTTTTTTTTATGTTTGCTTATGTTTGTGTTCGAAATTCAAATGACCAAAATTCGCATTTCCACATTTTAATGGACATATTAGATGCTTATCGTAAATAATGTTTCTGTAACAATTTGTTCCGGTTGGATGTCATCACGTGTATTGCTATGATTATTAATAATTATATTGCGATTTAGTACAAAATGTTTGTTTCGAGGTTTCAATAATATTTTCTGTAGGTATAAAATTATATTATAGCACTACATGATATTTTTAATAGAAATAGAAATAATCTTTATTCAAACTTAATATATAACCACTTTTGAGTAGTCATATTGTTTTTATTCTGAACGCAGACTCATCACAAGAAAACGAAAACGAACAAGAAATTTGCATGTTTCTCTTTCAAATAAATATTCTAATTCTAATTAGTAAAATGCTTAAACTAATTAAATATCTCTTTTTATAAATACATAGAAAATACACTGCGTATTTTCTATTTATTCAATACAAACAATCATATTTATGAATACAAATGTTGGTATCGTGCAAGAATCAAAATCTCAACAATCGGATGTCTTCTTGCTTGTTCTAACCATTATACCACTGTGGTCTTCAAAATTTCTAATTGCTAATTACATTAGATACCATTTTTTAACCACTATGGTGGCCATTAGATACCATAGACTTGTTAACACACTTTAAACAGTAAAATATGCATGAACAACATTATGTTCTTTAATGAATGATAGTGAAATTGTGCTCCCGACTGCGCTAACGGTTTATGCTGATACCGTTACTGGTACCCTTGTGGAGGATGATAAGAAGATCAAAAAGTCAGATCAGTAAGTCCATCGTGACAAATTCACCAGGAATTTAACATTATAGTTTCCAGGAGGAGACGCGGTGGTCAACCTGACATGGTACATTGCTAGCTATGGAGTCAACAGTCCTTATTATTAACAAACCCCTGACTCTCTATGATATCACGTTATAATGATGTTTCTGACGCCACTCGATGCTAACTACCTCTAAAATATCATACCTCTTATCCTGTAATTTCAATGCCTTATCTATAGAATAATAGATCTATACCTTCAACAAGAATGCAGCTTACAAAGCAATCTGCTTGGTCATTTAAAACTAAAATAGGTTAGACTAAGCACTAAGACCTTTCATTATCTACCTCAGTTATCAGAAAACCACTGTCTTGCCATTAAAAATCATTATATAATATGATTTCTGTTTAATGTAAGATCACTTTCAAAGCCCGGAAGTTAAATTCCTTATACTGTAACGAAAATAAAATATTATGGGGCGTCATAAAATCTCATTATAGCAACACCAGTTAAGCTACAGTCCGGATATTTTTTCATTTTCTATAATATTGGTTAGGAATAATGGCGTTGAGTTGAGACGATGGCGAGTTGAGGAAAATTGGTAAGTATTTAGGAAGAAATGTGAACATATTCTTAAATTCTAGTGCTTCTTTCTATATTAGGTACATTCAGAAAAAATAATTATTTATTTATATATTTATTCCAGGCTACTAGGTCCATATTATAATATTATAAAATTAAGATATTTATTAAAAAAAATTATGAAAAATTCTCAAATTACTGACTTATTTTTTTCTTTATTAAATAAGCTATATAATTTATGAATATCATTAACGAATTCCAATATATATGTATACTTAAAAAAAATTATCAATACTGAACTAAATTTTTTATGGCTACAAAATATTAATATCAGTCCTGATCACAGAATTCTTACTTTTATTATAAAATTACTTCATTTTTCGTTCTAAATGTTACTCAACTACCTAACTATAAGATCACAGAAAATGACAAATTAAAGTTACAAAGAAAATATTAAAACACATTGTTTCGTAATAGGCTTAGGAAATCTAAAACTATAGCCAACTTGGATTAACAATACCTATTGTTTTATCATACACTTAGTTCTTTTTCATACTCTTTTATAATGGCACCTGCTGATATACAATTCAATAGAGCGCCGTTGAGATTTATCGCTCCCAATTCATTTTATGAGAAATAACGTTTCAGTTTTACGTTTCGAACTGTTTGAAACTGAAATAAAATCGAGATCCATTCAGAGATTTATCTCGCTAAGTTACTAGACTACTTATACCAACACTCTATTATATGAAAAGAAATCATAGAAGCAGAAAAATAATTTAATAATAATTATTTTTTAACTAGTGAAAGTGATGGATCTGGTAGCGACATTTGTGTTGCAAATTATACTGTGTTACCAGCATTTTACAGTTGAAAGTCGATCATATGGCACTTCAGGTACTTTGGTAAACTTCACAGATCCTAAGGTTAGTTATATAATTCCACAGTCGTTATTTTCTTGTATAATGTATTTGTTCGATTACGAATCCGTACAAAAAAGATATAAAAATAGACAGTGTATTGTATTTTTGAAATGAATTCGGTCAGAAAGAACGTCGTCCACACTCCAAACCCTAAAGTGGTGTTACTTTGTGGTTTGGAGTATGGAAGACGTAGTAAGTTGAGTAGAAGACTTACTCAACTTTGCTCAGGAACTTTCCCGATGTATAGTACAGTATAGTAGCCACGCATTCTAGAGTGTATACATATTTTAATAAAAACAATTATATTTAATCGAATAATTCAATAAGTTTCTTGTAAAATAGTTAAAATACGGAGCGTTCTTTTTATTTCAATTCTTATTTTCTTCTAAATTCGAAATTTAAATGGCCACATGTTTCATTGGTGGCCAGTATTATCAAGCGCTATTTGCTCCAGTACGCAAGCCGGTGATACAACCTGCTTATACTAAGGAACTATTCGGAATAAGGGACATTGAAAAGTTAATTAAAATCAATTATTGAGAAATTGTATAATAAATCTATATTCTATCCGATTCCGTTATAGCCATTATACTTTAAAAATGTGTACGTTTCACTTTAAAAACACATTATTAATATATTTAATAGGATCTTACCACGAATAATATTATTGTCTATTTAAGTGCTTTCGCACTGCACCTGCAACAATATTGTATCATTAAATTATATTCCTATGTCGGTATGCTATAAAAATGCAAATGTGAGTTTGTTTACGCTTTACTATAGATGTCTGAAAGGTATCAGTGCTACAGGTTTTCCTAAACACCTGATTAGCTTACATAATAGACAAAGATATAAGAAATGGCTGATCAGCAAACTCAAAATTAAACATTGTTTATGTAGAACATTTTAGCCGCTAACAAATGTTAAGTTTATTTTATTAATATTTTTTCCCTACCGTCCAGTTCAGTATACACATTCAATTGAGAAGGACTGGCAAGAAACTCTACTTATTTTTTTTAATGCCAGTTTATTTACTCACCTTATCCTCTCAAGGTTCAAGGACATCTGGATGCACTGGTCCGCATGGCCCAATCTTGCGTAATCAAAGTAAGGGCCACTCCTAAAGATGTAAGGGCATACTTCACCAATTCTTCACCGGTCTCCAGATCTGGTCAATGCTTTGCCGCATGCATGCTTGAACAGAGCGACGTTGTCAATCACGGAAAGGTATAATAAAAATATATATAGATGCATATACAAAATATTTACTTTTACGCATAATATACATAAAATATCTAGAATAAAAGAAGAAAGAATCCACGAACTCATTGCTAGCTATCTACATTGCTATATCTCTATAAGTTTAACGTCAATGCGGTCGTTTAGTGAAAAGAGAAATTCTTAGTATATTCAGCAGATATGCTGGGGGGAAAGCATAGTACTGTTGATTGATGACTCATTGCATAGCTATGTACTATGTCGGGTTGACGTCCTCACGGTTCCCGCTGGAAACCATCGTGGTAAATTCCTGGTGAATTCGTCACGATGGGCTAACTGTCCTTATCTCACGATCATCTTATCATACTCCACTGGTGCCTCGCAAGTGTAAATTAGTGCAGGCATGTGCACCTGTCTATAACAGAATATCTAGTAACCTTAGGTGACAACTCCATTCAATTTTCATAAAAAAAAAGTGAACATCACTTGTGTTGAGTTGAATGGAAAATATCTCTTTTGGAAATAAATCCTTTGCTTACACTACCACTAATTATTTTATTACTGTTTTCCTAATTCCAAAAAAATATATATGCCAGTCCATGTAAAAAACATTAACGACCTTTGCTAAATGCATTTAAAAAAAGAACGATATTATTAAATACTGGCCATTAGACAGACCGTTTCTTCATTAAAAAGCTATTTAAAACTTCAAAGTAATTATTTTCCTGAGAATAGAATCGGAAACCTTGTCAAAGTTGATAAAGTCGTTCTAACTTGATGATAAAAAAGAAGAAAGTTTGCGAACCTTGTTTATTGCTTCTTAATGTAAAACTTAATGAACAGGAAATTAATAAATAAACGTACCAATTTTTTAGTTGATAATGGTATCACTATTCCATTATCACCAAAAAAAGTGCTTCCGTCTGCGCTAACGGTTTACACTGGCGGAGCACAAGTGGTGGCCTTGGTGGTCGTGGTTCGATTCCTCGCACGGTGCAAACATCAATATATATTTATATGGTTTTTGGTATCGGTAAGCTGTTTCAGTTGAAGGGTAATTGATATATGGCAGGTAAATTAAAGAATAAGGAAGTATGATTTTTGAGCTCGGGAATGGAAATGCTTGAGGAGTATTATAGACGTTATTTATGGTGAACGCACGACTTTACATATGCATATTGTGATCGATACATTTAAATCCAATGTAATACGAAATCAACATGAATTATAAATGGGAGGAAAACCACGAGCAGATCCCGGGGACCCAGGTGTAGGAATGTAAGGGGCCGCTTTGCAGACGTGACACTCACCTTCACCCCTCGTGTTTCTATCTCTGCATAGCCATAACTATATAGCAGGAGCTTGCCAGTAATAATAATAATATTTCAGGACAATTCACACAGCGCCATCTAGTCCCAAGCGAAGCAGACCTTGTGTTATGGGTACTAGACAACTGATATAAATACATGGATACATTTTTTTTGTAAATAAATACATATTATACATAGAAAACACCCAGACCGATACAAACAATCATACTTATGAATACAAATGTTTGTACCGTGCGAGGAATCGAACCCACGACCATCGGATAGTAAAGTGGTGTGCTAAACCACTAGACTACCGAGACTATCAGTGCAGCTTTAGATACAAGTTCCATGATATGAACCAAATTACCAAAGTATACTTGCAATATTATGTTTGCATTGCCCTCAAAGGATACATGGAGATCAATATTGATCAATATTGTACCTAACATAAAACCTTTTAAACCTATAAATATGATATTTTGTTAACACAGTTCGAAGTCAAACAAACAAAAAAATTCTTTTGATCTTTATACATCTTGGATTTCTAAGAAATGTACATGTGTCTAACATGTATGTTTCGTGGAAATCCAAGACTAAGCTTGTACTTGCTTTTTTTCAGGTCTGAAGAGATTCTTTAATCTCTTTAATTTAATTTTAATCAACCTATCGCTGGCAGCTTGTCCACCATTCTCTTTATAAATATTATATAATATCATTTTGATACTTCCCTTTTTATGAATTTTTGACTTGTTTGTGATCCCTCTTGGGAATTATATATAAAATTATTACAGTATTTTTAAAAAATAGTTGTTGTGTTCCCGCTCCAGTTACACAACCTTACTTGAAAAAGTAGGAGATGCTGAGTCCGACCTCTAGTCTTTTATTTGAGTTATCTTTAAAAAAAGTGATTGAAATCGGATTTTCCTAGCCTATATTCAGCACTAAATGTATATTTTAAATGTTTAATTTTAAATTTATATATACATATATATAATAAATTGATACAATGATTCAATTTATTATATGTATTTCTTTAATATCTATAATGTTTAGATATCTAGTTCGTAATGATGACGCATAAACGAAATATCTTCTTTGAAATACATACACTAAACTGAGGAGATAAAACCATCGCTCCTAAGAATATCCTTCAATTCTTATCTCTAACGGGCCTATGTAGCGAACTCTGAAATAAAGCTAGCACAATAGATCACCGAAGGTCACAGTATTACAGGTCAACTCAATTGTAGTTTTTATTAAATTTTTATAATGTTAGGTGACCTTTTCTATTTTTTATGTTGAAAAGGTTTGACAAATATTTATCCGATTAAGCTAGATGGAAGTAATATGACTATCCTATACTAATATAATATTATACATGTGTTTATTTCTGTTGCCTATTCATGACTAAACGGCTTCGCAATAATTGTATCACGAGAATAAACTATTTCTTATCTTAGAAAACAAACATAATCGCGACTAACAGCTAATAAAGATTTTTTTTACAATTCAGATCAACAGAGATCTTCTGGTACATCTTGCAAGCCTCGTGAATGGAAAGAACTCTCGAGTAGTTCGCAAACTGAACAGCATCTCCCGCCTGTGCCTGGACAGCATTGAAGGAATGTCAGACAGGTGTCAACTTGCTTCCACGTACAACGATTGCTTGAACGAAAACATGATAGAATTCGCGTTTCCACTGGATTTAGCAGAGGAAGCCGTGAGGAAAATGCCGTTCCATCTTATACAGGCTAAGTAAGTGACATAAATTAATTTCTAAGTTAAATTTAAAGCATTACATAAATGTTTTACTAATGTAGACTTTCTTACCAAGATACAAAGTCGTTTCTAGCGCGCAGCTGTTTGCTCTGTAAGCTATTTAGGACGTAGAATACATATTACTCAGTAATTTACAAGATAGGAGGCATGATATCTTAGTTCTCTGGAATGGCAACGCATGAGCGGTATCGGGTGATCACATGATAACGTGATGTCCATAGTACTGTATATACACCACGGTTATCGCTTACTATCAACGGGGTGATAGCTTATTTTTCATTCTGATTACATAAAAAAATTACTTTGAAATATACTGAGCGAAAGGTCATGTCACACGCTTCGATAGTTGATAATACCTCTGGCTACCCTATTTGGTATAATAGTCGTGATATTATGTATATATTATCTATATGTACTTTCTTAATATATACCATGGTCACGTAATATTATACATCTGCAATTACCTTCATTTTTTTCACAGTCGTATAAAAAACACTCGTATCCCGCGAGATTTACGAGATTGTATGTATTACAATTTTAATTAATGTGACAGTATGAAATACAAAATTGTCATAGGTTATTCGGGTGTTTACTCCAATGGAATATGAATATAACCAGTGTAGGATATTTTTTTCATTGATGATAATCAAATGGTGCATCCGCCTGCGCTAACGGTGTAAGCTGGCGGGACACAAGTCAAGGATAATGGTATGAGCATGAAATTAGGTCAGTTTGCATTGTGGCGAATTTACCAGAAATTAACCACGATGGTTTTCAGGGGGGCCGTGTGGAAGTCGACCTAACTGGTATAATGCTAGCACTACTGTCCTATTTATGAACAATCCCCTACCCTCCCCAGTGTAGGATGTTAGAGTTAACATGAAGTCATTTCAGTTAGCACATCATAAAGAATTCACCAGTAATATACCATGATTGGTTTCAGTTTCAGTGTAGATCAATCTGACATGGCAAATTTCTAGTAATGAAGTCAATACCATAGTACCCAAGCTCTTAGCTAGCTTAGGGACTAAATAGAGCTGTCTAGAGTCCTAAGATATTTAAAAATAATAAACCCTATTCTTGATAGACTTTCACATTTGATATTTTTATATATTTTAATGAAATGGTGCTCCCACCTAAGTGCATGGTTTACGCTGGCGGGACACTAGTAGAGGATGATAAAATAAGCATGAAGTCGGGTCCGTTAGTCTATGTGGCAAATCACCAAAAAAATTATGATGGTTTCATGGGGAATCCTCATGGAGGTCAACCTGACGAGGTATAATGCTAGCAATGGGATCGTAAGTCCACAATGCATGCTAACAATGCCCTTCTCCCCTCTTTTAGATACATGTATATGTGAGGAGACTTCCAAATGAGTCTCACTTGGAAACAGTTGCTATGGCAATATTAAGTAACAGGGGGAAGCCGGAATAAAGAGCTAGTAATATATATATTAATCACAATAAGTAGGCTAAAGTATTTGTATGGTTAGATACTTTAGAGGGACCGACAGAATAGAATTACGGAAATTACGTCACGTAAAAAGTAATTAGGGTCGCCGAACTTTGTGAGCAAAGATTTTCTCCTATTTTCTGAGGTTTGATGAGGATGAACTAATAACGTTACAGGGTACACATAAAGAAGCTTGCCCTAGTGATTTACTAGCCCGACTTACAGACAATAAAGATAGTGAGTTCATATATGAGAAGACGGCCTCGGTGGTCTAGCGGTTGAACACCGATAGTCGCGGATTCAATTCCTCGCACGGCACAAATATTTGTATTCATCAGTAAAATTGTTTGTATCGGTCTGGATGTTTTCTACGTATAATATGTATGTGTTTACGGAAAAAAATATATCTATGTATTTGTATTAATTATCCAGTAGCCATAACATAAGCTTTAGCTAGCTTAACTTGGGTCTAAATGGTGCTATGTGAATTGTCCTGAGATTATTATATTTATTAATCATCTAACTGTTGATTGACATAGTAAAAAGAATGAGGCTATATCACTATTTTCGTAACACATTAAATATACTCCCTAATTACTGCATTTTAATACAATATTTAGAATTGAATTCGGTTTAGATGGCGCTGTGTGAATTGTCCTGATATTAAAAAATACGGCCAAAAACAAAATTAAGCAATCTGAACCTAAATTGTCACGCGATAGACTAGTTTCAACCGTATGTCATGTAAATTTTAAGTTGTTTTTTATATATAAATGAAATGGCAACCAAGCTGATAGAACACTTGACAATAAGTAGTCACTTATATACATGAACAGCCTTATATCACTTTATTATATAACGCCTGTGATATGGGTTGTCTTTCCAAAAAACTAAGGTATGATATCTCGTATCCTGTAATTTAACTTTTCAACTGAAACACAACAATATAATCAAGCAGCTTAGCGGCTGAAAGAAGTAGACCGAGACGGAAACGTATTTCTACAAAGTCTACAATGATGAATAGTTCTATATTAACACGAAAAATAAACCGCATCGTAATGACTAATTTAGTCTCATTATTAATCACTAAATGGTATTTAAACATATACGCCTCGAAATTAAATTTCCAAAATCAAATGGTCGTATTTGATTCCTAGTACCGATTTAAACTCAAATAATTACGACATAAATATAAAGATATAATCACAATTGTAAAATAATATAACAGTGTGAATATATGGAATAGATAACATATGTACCTACATAAATTAGAAAAACAACTTATTATTCTGTAGAAAGACTTAACGAGATCGAATGCCTTTGCTTCTATTCTATCTCGTTAGGATTCTGTCAAAAATTAGCCTAAGGTATTGTCTTTCGTATACCTAAAAGTATTATATAAAAGATGTATAAAAAATATATGTATATTTTTATTTATTTCAGTTTGCCTCAAGAAATACGCTCGTTACAATACTAACGACTCTTCATTTAATTTAAGACACAATCTAAGGATGATATCAGTTGATACTTTATTTTTATTTACCTACACATTTTGTAATAAAATTATATTATTTCATAATGTTTTTTATTGTATATAGAAGCAAAATTGAACTTAATGGTGATGACTATATGGTGCAAAACAATTTGTCAGCGAATTCAACTCAGAAGCAATCAGTTTTTCGTTATCACATAAGTTCCGACATGATACGGCTCTCGCATCGAACCCTTTCTGTTCCATTAGCGACCCTACACTGTTCAATGTTACAGTGAACATACTTTTAATTGGACTAGAGTTCTCTTCAGTCTCTCTAGAGCATGTTTAAATGCTTTTTCTCTTTTATTTTATACTCTATTACAAGAGGTACGAATCATATGTAGAGCGAGACCATATGCAATCATTTCGCTAAACCTTTGTCTCACGTACTTTAGCCCCCAAGCAGCTAACTTTATAGAATTTATTTCAGTTGAATGACATTGAAATTACAGAGTAAAAATGTTTAACATCTTAGTCCTCTAGAATGCATACAATTTATGAGAAGCATGTGAGTCTTATAACAGCGTGGTATTTCTGATATTATTATGTGTATACAAATCTCACTTATATATTTTATATTAGTATATAGGCTTTTGCGAGTTTTCATAAGGTGGTCTATCACGACTGCCTTTTTGACATTCTTTAAAAACGTATACGACGAGTGGCGTAATAATAAAACGTTGGGTAATATAAACAAGACAGATGTTATGGCGCTTGAAAGAAATAGAATAAACATAACCGAACATACTAAAGTAAAATCAACCATTACATCATCAATCTAACACTATAGTGTAAGACTTACTGTAATATGATTTACTTTTATTTAGTCTGTTCCTTGTTTACTATGACATTCTATGACTTTCTTGTCATAGAATAGGTTTCTCATCATTTCTAGGTTAGACGTCACGCTTTATATGCCTATACAACCTCTGTCGACATACGGAGAATGTTCATAATAAAAAACTAGTTCTGCGCTATCAAAATACCAAACAAACATATGCCATCTCATACAAGTTCCTTCATAAGAACAAATTAATTTTCGGACACAACTACACCGACCGACCTCGAGATCGTACAAGTATGTTCATCTCGCAGATGATCGAGTGCCCCGTCTTATATTACCTCTCTCCTCTTTTATTTTCTCGATGACAGCTCATATTATCAATTATCTTGAAAAACTGTCGACATTATGATCTCACAATGTCTTATATAAGGGTATAATAGTTCCCTGAGGGTTTGACCTGATCCAATAAATAGCGAGAATTCCGAGAAATTCTTTTTTAGTTGATACCCACGTGTTGAAAGAAACTTTTGTTTTTATAATGTCCCAGTGGATAGAAAAGGGAATTGTTAATAAATGGAGTCTAGTAGTCCCATTGCCTGCAATGAACTATTTCAGTTTTACTTAGACACAGTCCCACTGGAAATCATCGTGGTTAATTCCTAGTGAATTGGCTAGGATAGGTAACCTAACCTCAGGTCATGCTCATCCTGTCATCTTCGACTGTACCTTGCCAGCGTATACCTATAGCGAATGCAGGTACACCATACCCTTATCATTCATTAACCCTAATTTGGCTTTTTATTCCGTTCAATCAGACGGCCCAGGACGTAGTCTAATGGTTTAAAACACCACTTTACTTCCAATGTTCGCGGGCTCAATTCCTCGCACGATACAAATATTTGTATTCATGAGAATTATTGTTTGTATCAGTCTGAGTTGAAGTTGTCCTAGTATATTACGTATGTATTTATAAAAAATAAAGTATCTAAGTATTTGTATCGGTTGTGTTGCATAACACAAACTCTGCTTACTGTGGAACTAGATGGCGCTGTGTTAATTATTTAAAAAAGATTTTGTATCAAAATTTCTTCATTGCATATAAATAACTATTTATTTATCTTACTATCATTAAGTTTTTTCCAGTCAAAATGATTCATCTTCAAAACAGTTTTAATCAAAACACCAATAATTGCATTTATTAAAGATATTTGTGTGATACAATTATAATATTTGTGACAAGAAATTCGGTCACTGTTATTTAGACGATGTATATTACAGATGATGATGGACTCGCAAAATGTACTTAAAAATATTTATCTTACATTTTACTAGTGTTATTTAGTATATAACTAAATAACACTAGTAAAAAGTAAGATGGGGTAACACAATTTAGACACAGCCGTGTTTAGTAGACAATATTTAGTTTGTCTTACTAGCTATAATTCTTTACAAGTATGATATATCTATTGTATCTATATATGGTGTATGATATATTTATTGTATTTATAGGTATTGATGTATCTAGGTTACTGTGTCATATAGACCTTTAGAATGGAATGCCGATAATTTCGAAGCATACGATGCATACATATATAGATAAATATGTATACATAAATCACCCAAACAAGATTAGTCGGTAAACATAAATATTGCTATCACTATATGTACTGAATTTATTACATTCTATGGAAGCTATTGTGGGGAAAATAATAAAGGGGATTACATATATTATACACATAACGACTATCGAGCTATGTGTAAATAGGATTTCATTATTTATTATGCTCGTGTAAATGGAATACAATGAAATGAAACTACGACTAACTTAACCTGGGCTCACATTATCAGGTTCAATCCGGACGGCTCGTACCGAAGATGCCGTTCGATTGGCGCATACAAAGAGGTTGGGCCATAGCTACCAATGCGCTAATCGTAAGGCTTTCTCGGTACGGACGACCTATACGACATTTATCGGAAATATGCGAGGACTCTTATTTTACTTCATAACTCATAGTTTTTTCATCAAATGTAGAAACGCTTTTTCAAATCCAACTGGTAGTGACAGAGATCAACGCGTTCAAACAAACACATTCTATATTAGTTGAGATAGGAACAGATATTATATACATTATATGTATGTAGATATTCTATCTTGACAGTAATGGAAATATGATTTTTGTTATTATTAAATATATATATCTATATATAATAAAATCGTAATAATTGTCGGTTTATCTCTTACGTGTGTTAACGTGTCACTTAAAAACGGTTGTAACCGATGAAATTTTATATAATATGGATCAATATATAAGAAATCTGAGAAAAATACCTTATAAAGGAGCAAATAATTAATTTTATGAATAGTTGCAATATATTATAAATATTTATTTTCCCAGCTTTTTTTAGTCTATAATTAATATCATAATAGCCTATAAGCAAATAATTAATTTTATAAATAGTCGCAATATGTTATAGTAATATAGTATTAAGTAGTTTATAGTTTACTAGCTACCCACCCCGGCTTCGCGCGGGTGTACATGTATTATACATATAAACCTTCCTCTTGAATCACTCTATCGATTAAAAACAGACACTTCAAAATCCGTTGCCGAATTTTAAAGATTTAAGCATACATAGGGACGGACAGACAGCGACAGTGACTTTGTAAAACAAAACTGTTACTATGTAATGATTAATGAATATAACAATATATGGCACGGTATAGATACATAATTTATTGTTGTTGTTTCATTATCATAAATAGTAGGCGATGTACAAATGTACATGCGTACGAAGCCGCGGGCACAACTAGTACCAAATAATCATAGTTCTAATCTGTTTAAAAATTCTCGAACTTTAACCTCAATGGTAAGCTGATTAATTCAGAATCCGAACTTCTTTTGGAGTCGGGATGACATCTAATGGCAGTTTGATCTAACTTAAGGGTATTGGATACCCACAACTTTGCAACTCAATAATTCATTGCTACCGTAACACTAACAAAGGACTATCTAACAAGTCGTTAAGTTAAAACTAACATTACTCCATCTACATTGTTGCAGACCACGCAACTCTAAAATTAAACTAGAGTTACACTTTTATTTACGCCTCCGATCGATTCCCCGTCCAATTCAAACGGGAATCGAAATTACCACGGCCTGAATGGAGGTTAGAACCGCTAGCAGTGCCCTCAGACTAAACTCGTATCCGTCACGCGGGAGGTGGCCTTTAGCCGCTCCATAAGTCCCTCCGCGGGTTAGGACTGCTATCGGTACTCGCCCCCGTCCGGTAAAGCTGTAAAGATCAGTTGCGGCCAACAGCATTAGAGATATTCGAAATTTTTTAGCAGATATATTTTTTAGATTCTATCATTTTGGCTATGTATTGACCAATCTATTCAACTAACCGTTATATATGTAACTTTCTGAAATATCCTAATATTGTTTTGTTAAACCTGTACAATGTAAAAAGATATGCAAGGGAAGAAACTGGCTTCTATAAATCAGCTCACGCTAGCTCAGAATGGCTTCTGTCTGTGTCTGTTCGGTCTACAAAAAAATAGAAAAACTAATTTGTAAAAAAAAGCAATAACCAAATTTTTCTTGCATCTAGAGAACTTATTAAATATCCGTATATGTTTCATTGATTCCCTTAAATCGCTTTTACTTATACAGTATTCAATATAAATAAACAAGATAAAGACTAGGTCTCCAAAGTGACTCGTAAAGCATGGACGCTAACAACAGTGTAGCAAAAAAGATTTGGACAAGCATCCACTATCTAGCACACACAAAAACCATAACGACTGCCCGGAAGAGAACTGCTCCCATTTTTTGCAGGCCTTTGTCTATGGTTATATACTTCACGATAAACTCTGTGCTTATGGACAAGTACGAATATCTCTATTTGACGACCTCGATAGTCTAGCGGTTTAGCACACTTTACTTCCGATGGTCGCGGGTTCGATTCCTCGCACGGTACAAATATTTGTATTCATGAGTATAGGTCATTTGGGTTAGAGATATATATACGAATGTTTCCACTGTGCGTGGAATCGAACCTGTGACCATCGGAAGTAAAGCAGCATGCTAAATCGTTGAACCACCCAGACCGTCAACAATATACATTTCAAATTATTTTTAATTAAATTCAATAAATATATCTTAAATGACATTTTGAA